CTCTTGGACAACTCTTCTGATAATTCTTTTCACTCCTCTGTCAGAAATCTTGCGAGGAGCACCTGGTCGTGGTTGGTTTTTTTGGTTAGTTTTTCAGACCTCTTTTAGAGCTGCTGTTCGTTCACATGTAGATGTTTTACAGCTCATGGAATGATTGTGTGACTCAGCTGATTTGCATCGTACGGCACAAACTGTTGAACCCAGTTCAAAATCAGATTAATATTCAAATGAGCTCCGAGGCTCCATACAGAGTTCATAAATTCAGGTATACTCAGATGTCAGTCTTTCCAAAGTTATCCACTGCAGTTTGTTACAACTGAGTTTGTATAATGCATATTTGTTTTATACTAGCTAAATAAACCATTTGAAAAAAAAAAACAAAATCTTTCCTGACTCATGATGAACAGCTCAGTCAGCTGTCCTGTAAATACATGTTGAACACCAGCTGAACTAAATGCAGCTTGTGACGCATTTCCTGCTTCTGTATAATTTGGGTCCTTCCCCATGAGCCAGAAACCTGAGAAATACCTACTCTTCCTCATGTTTGTCAGCTTCTCTCAGGGCCGAGGGGTGGTTCTGTAAAACTCTGAAGCTTCAGATTACAACACCCATTTCCCTTCAAGACATAACATGTTGTAAATTCATCCGAGTAGCAACACCCCGTTAGTTGTTTCACTGTAGAACTGGTGCAGCTGTTTAAAATCAACGGCCTCTATTTTTAGAAGGAATGCTTTTCTCGTGCCAATGATTTCCATTAGGATCATCTTATTGTTGAGAAATGACAGCAGTTTCTTATTCAAAGCAGCTGTTTGCATGCGGAGAAGAAAAACTCACATATTTAATAAGGACCTCTCAGCTGCGAGACGGTGCTTTTAGCTGTCCAACAAGTTTGATGCCACAGCTAAAACTATAGCAGCAGCTGATGTGTGACTTTATGAGACAAGTAGGCCTACGGCAGGAGTCAGGAACAGAGGATTATTTTGTTTGCTCAAACTATTTATTCACCATGACGCGTTATCTTAACCTATAATCTTTTGACTTATGCAGATTCAGGAAGGTTTTTATTGGTTCACAGAGACCTCTGGATCAAAGTGGCTTTAATGTTATTTTAAGTTCAGATACCAAACTAGTTTATAGGTTTAGTGGATCATTTGTTAAAAGCCATTTTTATGTGTTATGGCAGCAAATACTCACAAATAAACAGAACCAGGATATAACTTGACATATAATTCAATGGCTGCCGTGTCCTCAAGCTACAGAAATGTCATTTTCAGTGTTGTATAAAGTACCTCAAAGTGATACTTGAGTAAAAGTAAAAGTATCGTATCATAAAAAATACTTTGGTAAAAGTTAAAGTCTTCTCTAAAAATATTACTTGAGTAAAAGTCTTAAAGTATCTGATTTTTTGTACTTAAGTATCAAAAGTAAATTTCTAACACAAAATCTACTTAAGTATTAAAAGTAAAAGTAGCAAAAGTGAGCAGTTAGATTTTTCTAAATGACATTTATTGGCAGGTGACTTCTCCAAAAAAATTTTTTTTAATGGCATGCAGCTGTGATGGGTTGTGTACAAGCTAATAGCATGTCCGAATGGTATATATTTATACTTCTCATCCAACCACAGTTTAAATTCACTCTATCCAGGAGACACAATTTATCAGGATAGTTTTTTTTTAAGTAATAACAACTTGGAATAATATAGGAGTAATGACTTTCAACTTCTTACCTTTTTATAAAATGTAGTGAGTAGAAAGTACAGATAATTGTGTAAAAATGTAATGAGTAAAAGTAAAAAGTATGGTGAAAAATAATCAAGTAAAGTACAGATAGCCAAAATTTCTACTTAAATACAGTAACAAAGAATTTGTACTTAGTTACTTTACAACTCTGGTTATTTTGTTGCTGGCAGTCATATGGAAACTATCAGTGAAGCAGTTTTATTCATTTGGGTGTTTGAGAGTACTTTTGTTTTAGTGAATTTTACCGCTCAGCCCTGAAGACGTCCGGTTCGGTTGCCATCCTTGTTTGCTACCTTGTAGGTTTTAGATGTTTGCTCTGATTTTGGCGTCACTGTCTGCTCAGTGGTTTTCTGGGTGTGTCACCACATCGAGTGAGTAAACAGGATGCATAAGTCTGTGTGTTTGTCAGGTGTGGGATGTTTATGGAGACGATTTGCTTCAAAATCAGTTTTACCCATGAAACTTTTTTAAAGAAGCTTCACAATCGACCATAGTTAGCGTATTGTGGTCGAATTAAAGCCATTTATATTTATCATGTTGCCACTAGCTAATGATTTTACTGTGCATCYGTCATCTGTGGTATTAAGGTTATAKCAGAAACTTRTCATTGTCACAGAGTTTAAAGTCTCTGAGGTATCCTGAAGCTGATCTTTACTACACCCTTATTTTAAATAGGCTCAGCGGTCATGCTTCTTTTCTGTCTTGTGTTGATTTTTTTCTGTTTGTTTTATCCAGCTAACAAGGAATTTCAGGTTGATCATTTATGTTTGGACAGTATAATGACCCAGAAATAACAACCTAAAACATTTTAGGATCTTTTAATGACACTGGTCTCATGATATTGAAGCAAAATAAACTGTTTACAAAAACCTTGTTGAATTGTTGGACATCTGAAAAGAAATGTATGGTGTGTATTTTGTGGTAAATTAGGGTGTGTCAAAACACACACTGCAGTTTCTTGTATGTGCTTGAACGGGATGAATTGTCGTTTCCTTAATTTTGCGATGAGACGAGTAAAACATTAGAAAAAGTGTCATCGTTTGACATTAATCCAGGTGGTAATTACTGGTCCTATTATATACAGTATTTATTTTTTCAAACTTTATTCATTCCATAAAAAATTCTATGTACAATAAAAAAG